GATGATTAATTTGAGACATTTCCCTTTTCTAAACTCAACTTTAAAGGTTTTTTAATCAAGAAGAAAGTCTTCGAGGAGAAAAAATGGTGGCCGAATAGGCAGATGTGTTGTGCACGTCGACCCGGGGCCAGACTGGAAATACAACTAAATCGGAGAACATCCACCTGGAATTAACAAGCAGGCACAGATGAGGAGACAGCTTACAATAAGGAAGGGCAGAAAACACCTGGAGACCCATAGGGATGGTGGCGTGGGCTGGAAAGGGCGATGGGCCAGCGGGCTAAGAGGGAGAGGAGGAGGCTGCACCAAAGCCTCGCCCCTTGGCAGCGAGCGTAACATCCAATTGAGAACAGGAAAAGCCACAGGGCGGTCTGGACCACAGCCTCGAAAGGCAGCCCTGGAGGGGAAAGCAGCGTGGTGCTGGGGGGACAGAAAGCCACAGTTTTGTTGTTGTTTTTAGTCTCTAAACCAGGGGTGGGCAAACTTTTTGACTCGAGGGCCACAATGGGTTCTTAAACTGGACCGGAGGGCCGGAACAAAAGCATGGATGGAGTGTTTGTGTGAACTAATATAAATTCAAAGTAAACATCATTACAAAAAAGGGTCTTTTTTTTTTTAGTTTTATTCATTTCAAACGTGCTGGGGTCCAACCCCAGCAGGTCCAGGGGTCCCCAAATGTGTGGACGGAGTCAGCAAAGAAGGAATGACACGGAGACAGCGTTCAGTTGATCAGCAGCCTAGCCAGGATCTCTAGCCAGGAACTCCAGCCAAGTTCTGGTCCGGATCTCCAGCGAAGTTCTGGTTAAGAGCTCTGGCCAAGTTCTGGTGTTTATTGTCTTGTTACATCTGTATTTATACCAGTTGATTTTAATCCTGTCAATTTCTATTGCAAAGGTTAGGGCGTTTCTTATCTCCATTCCAGGGAGTAAAGATTATGTAGCTTAAGCGTGATTGTTTGTAGTTAAAGTGATTAACTACCCGCCTGGCACTTAGTTAAGGGGTTATATCCCCTCCCTAACTTCAGGGAACAATCCCTACCTGGGGAAACAACCTTTCTCAGAGAGGTGACCTTGGTTAAAACACATAGCGCTAAGGGGAGCAAACATATTAAGAACAGTATGCTATATACGCCAGGTCCCTTGAAACATATACTGTGCAGATGTTTCTTTCTTGCAGCGACTGTGTCAAGCAGCAAGGATGGAACGGCTTCCGGCACAAATGGGCCGGATCCGGCCCGCGGGCCGTAGTTTGCCCATGGCTACCTAAACCCAGAACAAAGGACTTTTCCGTTGCAATCACTCATCCCAGGCTTTGGCGCAGGGAGGGAGGCTTGGACTTGAGGTGCCTGAGGAGAGGCTGGGAAGGGAAGCAGGGCAGGGAGATGTGGCCAGGAGTCCAGCATTGGGACATTCTTAAGCTTCTAAACCTAAGCGGCCATTTCTCCCCAGAAGAACTAGCCCCTCTCAGGAGCCTCAGGATAGGTGATACAGCTGCCACACCCTGCCTTTGAGCTTTACTGAGGAAACAAAGGCGGAGGCCAAGCGTACGGGTCTGAACAGTCTCCAGGACCCTTCAGTGACTGAATTGGGAGAGGGGCCGTCCACCCTGCTATTCTGGGAGCCAGACTGATAAAAACTCCAGGTGGGCAGCCAACCTCACTGGTCTCCATACAAGGACCTCTGACCAACCA